CCACCTAGCAGTGCATTACAATAGTCCAGTCTAGAGATCATAAATGCATGAACTAGCTTTTCTGAATCAGAAACAAGTAACATGTTTCGTAGCTTGGCAATGTTTCTAAGATGGAAGGATGCTGTTTTTGTAACATGGGAAATATGATTTTCAAAAGACAAGTTGCTGTCTAATATAACAGATTTTTAACTGTAGAGGAAGTAACAGTACATCCGTCTAGTTGCAAATTGTAATCCAAGAGATTCTGTGTACTGCTTTTTGGTCCAATAAGTAAGTCCAATCTCTGTCTTATCCGAATTCAATAGGAGAAAATTATTGGTCATCCAATCTTTTACATTTTTAATGTTAGCTTAGAAAATTTAGAAGTTTCATCTGGTCTTCTTGAGATATATAGTTGAGTATCATCAACATAACAGTGGAAACTAATTCCGTATTTTCTAATAATATTATGAAGGGGTAACGTATATTGAAAATAGCAGAGGACCTAGGACAGATCCTTGTGGCACTCCATACTTTACTGGTGATAATTGAGATAACTCCCCGTTTAAATAAACAAAGTGGTAGCTAAATGCCTTCATGTCCATCATTTCTGCACTGTTCTGAGCATATCAAAGTTCAACTAACTCGTTGATTATCTTTACTGCAAAACATTGCAAAGCATCATTCTGGTGTGAAATGTGGAGATATTTGAACCACTTAAACCACATAAATTTCATGGCTCACTGGTTCATTGTAATGGCTGATAATGATATTAAAAATCAAATTATGATGGAAAAAAACTATCAGATGTGAATGGCAGTATGTGTTGACAGGTTGCCTAGAGAACTGCCAAAATATAATGGTGGTTAATTTGGAGGAAAATTGTATTCTTAGTAAATTGGGTGTGAATGAACAAATCTGCAGTACAGCCAGCCATTTTTCCACTTATATAATCTTAAAAGAACAAAAGTGATTCCCAAACTGTTAAATGGTTCCCTTTAATGAATAAGATTGAGCCTAAATAATGTGAATCATCTTAAAAGTTTTGTCATTAATAATAAATCATGCTACCTTTAACATCAGTCATCATTGTTATGGAGATGCATTTAGGTATAATTCGCTGTGATTAGATGACTCAAATGAATCATTTGGCTTTCATTTTAATTAGCCTGTACTCATATGATTGATGAATGATGTTATAATTTGCTAACACTGGTGATGTGTAAAACGATGAAATCATTGATAAGTGATACAAATATTTTCAATTGATGACACCACAATCTCCAAAACTTAACAGCATAAATAAAACAGGCCGTAAAAAAAAATTACAACAGCTGTACCACAAGGGGGCAGCTTCTTCAGACAGAACCCATAAACACCATCAACAGCTAAATGTTCTAATTCAAGATTCATTCGATCTGCTAAATGACAATACTTAATCCACTTGCTAAGCACAATGATGTAGAGCTGCAAAACAGTGGCAAATGCTGAATCAGGTTTCAAAGGCAGCCAGCAGGCATGGACACTCTCCAGGTTTATTGGAAGTGGAGGCTGCATCTATCCAAATCTCCAGATCTCAGCAGATTTGTGAGTGCTGGGTCATTTAGCCCTGAGCGAAGGAGGCAGGGGGAGATCAATCAGGGCCCTATCCGGCCCACTGTCGTCCTTGATTTGCAGTACAAGCGTCCAGCTGTTGGGTTTGGGGAAAAATAATGGCTGATTGGACTCTGTGGCATCTTGGCATTAAGGAACAATTCAATTTCTCCGTGATGCATGGTCAAAGAGTGCCGGTCCTGAGACACTGCCGCACGCTGCTACAGACCCAACACAGACCTGAAAAACAGTAGCGAGACAAGGGAGCGTTTCCAAGCAGTCATGCTGACTGCCAGAAAGCCACTGCAATGATGCGCTTTTCACAGATGAGAGAAATCCATGTGCTGTTTTGACCGCAAAAGTCTGGGAAAAGGCTGAACGTGATTCATCTAATTTCATTTTTTGTATCTCTAAAAAAGCTTTCCCAGAAATTATGACATAATTGACTGTGCAGTGAAAAATACTCTTTCACATAGGCTAAGTATCTCCATCCAAAGCCAATTTCACATGACTATTTTGAATAAACCATCATGTTGATGGAGCTAGCCTTGGAATTCCTGCATTGTGAATGAAGTATTAAATGTTACTGCTTGTGTGTTTATTCAAACAAGAAAAATGTATGTATTCTGACAAATTCAAGCAATTCACATTGCAACGTTAATTAATTTAATCAAAGCCGGCCATGCAAGCTTTAACTGAACTGGTGTTGAGCTGGATTCCAAACAGTAAAAACCAGATCCAGTCCATTACCAGCCAACTATACATTTACTACAAGAAGTTTCAGAGTTATTCTAAATGCAGTGCTGCTTTTTATTTACACCCAAGAGAGTATAAAAAACACCCTGAGCTGAGTTTTAAAAGGCAAAGCATGGTACACTAAAATGCCCTTAAGATAAATAGAAGTTTAAAATTTGTGACTTTGCAGGCAGACACATAAATCACCATGTAGCACAATCCCTGCAGAAATATCCTTCATTTACACCAGTAGGTAATAAACAGAAGAAGAAGAAAAAAACAATGACCTATGCTCAGCATTTTCATAAAAGAACAAAGCGACACACAGTTACTAATGTATGCCTCTGTTGATGTCAAAATGTGTTTTTCCACCTGATCAATAGCGATAGCAACTTGTTTATCTATTTAAAATCTATTTTTATCTATTTAGATCTTACCTCATTGTCATGATTTATCGCTTAGATTTTATAGATAACTAGAAATTCAACAGCTGGTATACGCTGCAGACAGATGTCAGAGCACAGAGACAACTTGCTTTGTTCCTTTCCCTGCTCAAGGGTACACTCTTAAAAATAAAGGTGCTTCAAAAGGTTCTTCAAGCGATGCCATAGAAGAACCATTTTTGGGTCCAAAAATAACTATTCAGTCAAAGGTTCTTTAAAGAACCATCTCTTTCTTACCTTTTTGTAATCTGAAGAACCTTCTTTCGCCACAAAGAACCTTTTGTGAAACCGAAAGGTTCTTTATGGAACCATTTAGACAAAAAGGTTCTTCTATGGCATCGTGAAGCACCTTTATTTTTAAGAGTGTACATCAGTAGAAAAAAAGACGAAATATCCTGAATGGAATTTGAACCAGTTCTTCCCATTCATGATGCAGAACTTGTACCATTATTAACCCAGCTATTCCTGTAATCAAACTTTGCCAACCTGCTTATGCAATTGCAACAAAAGCAGTCTTATATCCATTCACATTAAACAGCTGTAATAATCCTCAGTTTGTCTGTTATGCAATGGACGAAGAACTTTTTTTTTAAATTCAGACCTCAAGTTAGCATACAGAGTTATTGCAAAGTTGTTTTTCTGCATTCTTAAGACAGATGGTCTTATTCAATCAGAAGATAACAAGGGATAAACAGATCAGAGAGTTTATTAAACTGCACTAGGTGGCATGTTTGCTTTCGTCTCATTGCAGGCTCCTGAGTCACAGCGAAGCTGATTAACTTGTTTGTGGCAGTAATATAAACATAACGAATCGTTAATAGTTTCATGGCTACAGGAATCTCCACCAAAAGGGCGTAGATTTGATGTGATCACTAATGAAACGTTCATGTGCTATTTTTAATTGAACTGAAATATCTACATTTTTGGTGTGGTCTGTTTAATAGTTTGTGGGAAGGCAACCATCCCAAAACCTACTCTGCTACTACCATACTAAAGAATTTACAATAGTAAACAATATATACATCGCTCTATTTTGAGCTTTTTTACTTCTATAAGTTAATTTTTTAACCACATAAACAAATGTTGTCAATTTGTTATTATAATTACCTTGAAAAAAAATCTTAATTTGAACAATTATGGCTGTTTAGAAAATAAATAGATAACGAAGGCACAAGAGTAACTGTAAATAGCGCACAAGATATCATACATTAACTCAAACAGAACACACTACGACTAATTTTGTCTGGTTCCTGTGTTTGAGGTTCCATTTGTGCTAGAAAGGAGTGACTGCTTTGTACTATACATTTGTCGTTATCTCTGAAATTAGTATGTCGATGTGTATGCTCTTTATTTATATCATCTTGTTCCGTCATTTATGGAAGGCTTTTTCCAAAAATGGTGTTCAGTTTGTGCTAAAAAAAAAAGTCTTGACTGTACAATACATTTGTCTTTGTCTACTGTTATTGCTGTTGTTTCATCTGTGTTGTCCTCCCTTGTCATCTGTTTGTGTCGTCCTCCTCGTCCTGTGTTCAGCTCGATTTTATGCTTTATAAGTTTATGCTCTCAGTGAACTTTCTGCAATGCATTTTACAGATATCAGGACAAGTAAACAAACAGAAAGGCTAGATTTTTTCCTCAGTAATGAGTTTTCTAAAACGTTTAGATGCATTTATCTTTTTGTTCTGTAAACGTAAGTCTGTAGTCCTTAGGTTTTATCTCTGAGCTTTGTAATAATATTCAGAGTTTTAGGAAGATGATGAGAACTTATTAAAAAAACTAAACAGGGATGACTACATAAGTAGATGACAAGAAGGGCAACACAGATAAAACATAATAGTAAGCAATAATAGTAGACATTAGACACAATCTTTTTTTTTATCACAAAAAAAAAGTTCAGTTTCATATTAGCTACATATTCGACAACACTTGGCTTTGCAACAATTAATGCAGAAATCTGACTGCTACAGGTCACTTACATCTGCATTAAACCCAGATTATCCAGATGCCTGATTAAATAAAATTGTGGCTTCAAAACAAACTGTGTTTACACTTGCATCTTACAACGGGAAACACTTTTTTTTTCTCAATGGTAACGCGTGGCACTTTCAGTTCAGATGTTTCATTGGTCGGTGGGCGGAGGTTTATTTGCGTTGGCGGTGACGTTAATTTTGTACCTCCCATGATTGGCTTATTTTTTTCAACACGGCCTGCGTAAAACACCGCAAGCACAATCATAGGGGTGGACTTTAAACAAGGAATGCTCGTCTGTAGGTTTATCCTAATGATTTATATAGCTAAAATGTGTAACAGAGCGTATGTACATTTGCTCGGCCCTGCCTTAAAGCATCTTCATCCACTGAGGGAAAAAAAGATGCCGCTGTAAAACTTTTCAGTGCTGACGAGAGAAAGGGAGAGAATTGACGCGATGGGTGAGGACGATAAAACAGAGTGAAGAACTTTTCATACGGCCCTTCGTCGGCAAAGAGGATCAGTATGATCACATAGATACCATCTTTATTGGTTCAATGAAAAGAGACAAAAGTTTTGGGCGAAGTATGGCGCGAGAGACCGGAGAGTCTGGAGAAACGAAAAGTACCAAAGTGAAAAAGCATAAAAGAAGGAAAAGCAAAAAGGAGAGCAAAACAAGGATTGTGCACGCCAATATCTTATATGACCATACCAAAGGAGGGGATAACCCCAACAGACACTATGCAAACAATAAGATCAAAACCACAAAATACACGCTGCTTTCTTTCCTACCGAAGAACCTCTTCGAGCAATTCCACCGATTTGCCAACGTGTATTTTGTTTTCATAGCCTTACTGAATTTCGTGCCTGTGGTCAATGCTTTTCAACCAGAGTTGGCTCTTGCCCCTGTGGTTTTTATTTTGTCCGTTACCGCTATCAAGGATTTATGGGAGGATTACAGACGACACCGCTCGGATAAAGAAATCAATCATATGGACTGTCTCGTTTACAGCAGGTAAGCACGTGCTTGAAAGTGCCATAAAGCCATGTGTCTGTTTAGTTTCCCTCGCCGAGAATAGACACAGAGTTTTTGCCTTGCTGCTAAGGACCTGTGGGCCTGCCTACCTGTTGAACGAGGAGTTTCAGGATGTGGCTAATATCTCAAACTAATGCTTTGTCTTTCTAAGCAACAAAGTTGTGGGCTTTTTTTACGCTTGAAAGTTGTAATCCTGGGTTATTTTCATTATTTTCGTGTCATTTTCACACTGTCCATCAATCTGGTAGTCAGGTTCTGAGATTTCATTCAGTACTTTCCTTTCTGAAACGCTGGTTTAGCGTTCTTATTAGCATATTTAGGAGGTTAGTCATATGGATTGGGCAAATACAGGACATGGCCACCTGTCCTGTGTAACTGCTTGTTCATTTGCTACGTAAATCTGCTTTTTTGACTCATTTTGTAACGTTTCCCTTCAGACTTTGATTTAGGCAACATATAAAACTCTCCAAGATTAACATTTAAAGTGCATAAATATTTAATGAGTGAAGTATTGAGTAAGTTTATGATATATATGATTGGTTGTCTGTTGATAAACAACTCCCAATTACACTCCAGCATGGCATACTGTTTGTATGCCTTTGGCCCCCAGTTCTGGAGCTGGGTTTAATTAAACTAGGATTAAAAGTGATGCTCATCCCCTTGAAAATGACAGGTGTGAAACCGAAACCGTTTACCGGTGTACTGAAATTGTTTTGGATTAAATGTGAGTTTAAATGCAGTATGCAAAAAGCATTTGGGTCCCCAAAAAAATGTTGTCTAGGTTGGTAACTCACTAGATCTATGAGACTCAGGTTGGGGAGCGATATTAGTGTGCTGGCTTTTGTATTTTGGTATATTTTGTTGTGTGAAACGCCTCACACCACATGACCCCAATGAGCACATAGTACTGATAGGCAAAAGGGAAGGAACAGTGATTGAAATTTCACACTCTGGATAAATGAGTGCTGTCAGAGTGGCTGATATGATTGTGCATTTCAGGCCTCAGTGTCACTCATGTATGTCATCAATGAATTCCAGTGAGTTTAATGTATATTTAGCCATGTTTGTCTGAACATAAGTATAGGCTTATTAGTATGAGGTATGTTATTTAATTGTAGCTGATCACCTCAAGACACTGTCTTTTATTCTCTTGTTGTGTTGAGTGCAGGGTTGTTGTAGTAAGCTAAAACTTTACAAATAAAACGTATAAAATTATTTTTAAAAGTACTCCTTTTATTTCAGCTAGCTGCCTAGGCAACATTTTTATTTTCAAAAGGAAAAATATAAAAATAAAAACTAATTCAAAATATGAATAAATGTGATAGGGTCATTCCGTGTCAACTCAACCAGAGGTCCCCGGCTCAAATTTTTGATTTTGCTAATATTTTTTTCTGAAGAAAGATAAACATGTATATAGTGATGAAAGACAGATTATTATGTCATGAATTAATATTTACTGAATAATCCACTATTTTGTAGAGGGGGGTCAAAATGGCAATTTTCACCTGAGATTCAGAGCCAAATTATAGGGGGTTAAAAATGACTTCAGAAAGATAGCAGCATGAGCATCATAATCTGATCATCGTAAAATCTGTTGACTTCAGCAATCTTCGTTGCTTTATGTGCCGGTGTTGGTCTTTACGTTTTTTCTCCAAAGTTTGCATGCCTGTAACTCTAGAAGTATTAAAGATATCTTAATGTCCTTTTAGATATTGGGTCTTAGCAAACTTTTTCCTTTTGGCATCTTCATTTTTAAGGCCCTATGTTTCAGTTCCAGAGATACTGGAATTTCAGTATGGCTCTAGGAGTAAATCCTTAAATGGTACACATTTTCAGTGGTCAAAAACCAAATGTGGGTGACTTTGCATAAATATGATGCTTCTTTTCTTTTAAAGAGTAATGTCTGAAGAACAAATTATGTTGAAACTAGAAATGTGATGCTTTTCTTTTAAAGAGGAATGTCTGAAGAACAAATTATGTTGAAACTAGAAATGTATCATTTCAAAACAACTGCATTAAGTTTCTGAAATGTGGTTGATTTGACATGGAATTACACTATAATAGTATCTAAATTATAATAGTAAAATAACACTGAGTGAGGGCTTGTTAATCTGCTATTCTGCTTATTCAGTCAATTAAGTCAAGGATCCCCTTTCAAACTTTAAAAACTTGAGTGAACGGAGTTCAGTTCCTTTCACATTGCCCCTAGTTGTGACGTGTCAGATAATCTTGCCCTGAAGATTCATTTATGACCAAGTCCGACACCTTTTACATGTTTGAGTTCAGTTTTGTCCTTGGTGATAAACACAGTGTGCTTATAGCGTGAACTTGCTGGAACAAACTATTCACCTCCATCCACTTGATCTACAGGCCCTTTAGCAGATAAAACTTGTCAGGAAATTTAATTTTATACAGAAATGAAGGACGTTGTCGTGCTTTCTCTGTTACTGTCAGTTTGAAAAAAAAAGTTTGGTGAACAGCCTGTCTCTCATCTATGCTTTTGAGAGCTTCCACTTGGTTATTTTTTGGAGTCAGAGAGTCAGTCTGGAGACTGTATTTCTTGATGAAAAGCGTCTCTGTCAGCCATGTATCAGCTCTGTCAAAAGCTACAGTGTTTCTCAGACTCCACAGTCTGAGTTTGTGCTGTGTCAATGTTGCTCTCAAGGCTGGGCTTGATTGAATTTTCTCAAACAAATTACTCTATTTTGAAAACTGCTCCCGTTGCTAACAAAGCAACACTGAATTACAGCAGATTGAATTCTCAGTATGATGTCACCCTGGCTGAACCTGATTTGACCTTTTAATATGATTGCAAAGTTTGTCACGGAGACTCACACTTGAATTACTAGCCACTGGTTGGACTGTAAAGTAAGGATGGGCGATATGGACTTAAAAATATGTCTATACGATATTTCTGGTATTTATTACGATAGCGATATCAATGACGATAATTCAGGGAATCCTGTTTCTTTAGAGCAGGGGTCTCCAACCTTTTTGTGAGTGAGGGCTCCCTGAAGGGATAAAATAGTCTCAAGGGCTACTTGTTTGATATATTCCAATATACATGCATACATACCAGAGCCAGAACGATATATCGTTTTGCCGACATTATCGGCCGATATGAGCCTGTCGCGATATATCGGTATCGGCGAAAATGCCGCCAATATGAAATTTTTTTTTACAGAACATATAATGCAGATAAAATGCTTGAAATGGTGTAATTACTTAGTTTATCCAGCAGAGCGCGCTCCATTGTTTGCTACTGGCGACCTGGATGAAATGCTTTAAAGATTAAGTCTATGGAAAACCATTAAAACTTTGAACGGCCATATCTCCGTAACGGCGTGGAGAATCCGCATTCAAATTCGGGGGATCCCTTCAGCTCGAGGAACCCTCTCGAATGCAAATCGGGTGTACGTCTAGAGGCCCGCTTTCGAATGAGACCACCCCCACGTCGATAGTATATACTTCAACTTTACTGTTCAGTGCACTGATGTCAGACTCATTTTGGATAATAAAGTTTATTATTAAATAGTTAAATGCCCAGCCTCCATTACGTATCCATTGATCACCACATTTGAGTGATCATTGCAAAAAATGTGTTTATGTATATATATTCCGTTTATGTATATACTGTATTCTATATATAGTACCAGTCAAATGTTTGGACACGAATGGGAAAGTGTCCAAACTTTTGACTGGTACTGTACTATAATATACACAAAGAATATCTGCCGATATATCGATATCGGCTTTTTTTTAACTTCCTAATATCGGTATCGGCCCCAAAAAAAAACATATGTCAGACTCATTTTGGATAATAAAGTTTATTATTAAATAGTTAAATGCCCAGCCTCCATTACGTATCCATTGATCACCACATTTGAGTGATCATTGCAAAAAATGTGTTTATGTATATATATTCCGTTTATGTATATACTGTATTCTATATATAGTACCAGTCAAATGTTTGGACACGAATGGGAAAGTGTCCAAACTTTTGACTGATACTGTAGATGAAGAATATCGGCCGATATATCGAAATCTGCCTTTTTTTTTACTCCCAAATATCGGTATCGGCCCCAAAAAAAAACATATCGGTCGGGCTCTAATACATACATACTTACATACTTTATTTATTTAATATCTTGATATCTTGCATTTTATGCAAAAATGCATTTTATATTTTCTTAAATTCTGTGTTTTCCATTTGATTTCTTATGGATTCCGTGTTTTATGATTCAGTACAAATTTATCATAAAAAAGGGTGTCTAGTGAAATGAATTAATATATTCTGGCATATAATTTCAAGTTAAACCAGACTTTTATTTTGACTGTTTGTCATGAAGGTCTTTCAGTTTTAGTTTCAGCGTGTATTTGACGGTATTTTTTCTCAAATGAAACTGCATAAAGCTGATGAAGTGACTCTAAGAACAGCTCTGAAGATGAAGTGCATGTGTTCATGTCCTCATATATTGAGACGCAGACGCTGAAAACACGTGTGTTTGAGTTTGTTTATCAGATGAAACTACTGATACACAAGAGACAAACTAGAGAAAAGTATTATCTTTCCTATTTTTACCTAAAATAGGGTGTTGTGAGCATTGAGTACACACGTAATGTAAAGACTGTTTAATTCATACTGGAAGCACTCTTGCACAGAAACTCCACATATCCATAGCAGAAGTAATACTACTGATGACGATCCAGGAAGGTATCCAGTTATCGCTGTATAAAACGCACAACGGGGATAGAGATGTTAACTGATGAAACTTGAGGAAAATAAACATACGATTGCACAAAATATATGGTTTTTCTGTGTTCTTCAATCTTGGGTATTTTTATAAGGAAAGTATATTTATAATGCAATGTTAATCGACATGGCCTTTATCACTGTATGTAATACTATAATTCTGTAATATGAAACCACGTCTGGTCACAAAAAGAAGTATTTCAAACACTCGACTATGTTAAGTTAA